AGAACGGCCGTACGCACACGTGTGTAGAAACTTAAGCATCTGCATGAATCGTAAAGAAAAGTGCGTTGGTCCGAATGAAATACAGAAAATGATCTGTACTCTGTAATTTGCAACGAATTGTACTAGTTTCAGCAATTTTACACCTGAAACCGTGCCCAGGTTACAATTCGAAACGAAATAGAAGGAGAAGAAGAAGTTTGGCGTAAGCATGCGGTAGCAATCAGAGTCTCTTAACTGCCATTAGGCAGTGCGGCTGCTGCTGCCGCTGCTGATGATGATGATGCTACTGCATTTGAATATATTAATTTAATCAAAATCCCGATTGAGCTTGCTGCACCTCAGTCAAATTCACACTCTAATTATTGATTAAAATTCTTTAGAAATCCATCAGCCGATGCGATGCGAATGCCGAGCCACAATCGCACAACAGTGGCAGCTGATGCATTGCATATTATACAGATTTCGTTGTCATATTTAATCAACAATTCAAAGAGAGTTTATATTGTGTTCAGTGCTTGTAATGGAAATAATATTTATTGTTTGTTTTCTTCTCTTTGTTTGGTCCAATGATGATGTTGCGGTTGTTGCTGCTGCTGCTGCTGTTTGAAATCAACGAACGAGCACAGAAAAACGAACAATAACAACACAACATCATCGCTGACGTTGCAATTTTCTTTTGATCATTTTTAACTCTTTGATCGTGTGTAATCGCTGCATACAAAGCACAAAATTCACGGACATAGTTTCATCTCGGCTGTGATGCACGTAGCTGCTACTGCATCAGCACCACCACAACTGAATAAATAGTGCGCAATATTGAGAGTAATAAAAGAGAAAAACAAACAAACGCACGCACGCCAACGTTAAAGCCAATTGAATAATGTAGCAAAATCGTGTATTTCGCGCCTGCGCCCGTGCATTTTCGACGTTTTACCGTGTGTGCGAATGTGGAAGAAGAGGAGCATTTTCCGTGGCAAGGTGAAAACGATAAGTGCTGGCATTTCATCCATAAATTGGTGGTCCATTTCTTGTGTGTGCGCTCGCAAGCCGCAAACACAGAATCAGGGTCACGATCAACAAAAATCACTTTTGTGCCTCATTTGCATTTAATGACTTGAAATGAGATTCCATCTCTCTCTCTCTCTCTCTCGGCATATCGTATCGCGCACTCGCACCGTGTCACAGATCAATAAATCGAAATCAAGCGTAACGGTTTTTAGCGATTTTCTTCGGTCATCTAGATCGTCTTCTATCAGCACATAATGACAAGTGAAACTGATCGCTCGTATGCTAATTTCTGTGCTTCAATTATACAAAACGTTCTCTTTCCACTCAAGTTGGGTTTTCTTGAACTATTTTCAAACCATTTCTTCTTCTTCTTTGAACTGTACCAATCAATGGCATCGATTAATCGAGCTTTGATACAATTTTGATCACATCCGACAATATGTATCTCATTCTGATCACAAGACATTTGGCAATGGAGAGTAAATTGGTAGGTTTCACGTGTATTGCGTTTCACACTTAAATGCGTACGAAATTCGGTGTACGAAGAATCAGAACAATCGTCGTTGTTGTTTTGTTGTTGTTGTTTGTTTCCAACGTATGCTTCAGACATTATGATGGTTCAGTTTATGGTCGAACAACAACACGCTACTTGACACAAACAGTTACAGATCACTCACTTTTTTTCGCATGCTTTACTTCAATTCTACGATTTTTCGAGAGGTTTTTTTTATTGTTTTATTTTTTTTTCTTTTATTTTTATAACGAAAATAATAATAATATCACAAAAAGCGGCGCGCATTTAATTACGGTAAATTTTCGGCGTTCATTTTCGCTCATGCTCGATGCGAAAAAGAAAGAGACTTTCAACATAGTTGTGTTGTATGTGCAACGTTCACTTGACAGTTCGGTTTATTATACAATTAAGATCAACTCGTGATTAGACTTCTAAAAGAAAAGAAGAAACTTACATGGCGTTTTCGGTTAATTTGTTGTTTGCAAAATCGAAACCCGGCGATTAAATGATTCGGGATTAATCCAATGGTTGCGGCAATTTCTGCAAAATGATTTTTATGCTTAATGATGCTTTAGCAATACACGAGAAAGAAGGAGAAGAAGGAAAAAAATTAAACTGTACAGTGTACAGCACACGAAAAACAAAAATGTATTGGGATTCTTCGGTGAGCTTTTGTTATTGCTCTTTCCAAACTGAAAATCGGCCAAATTTTTCATTGTCTACTGACACTGATTCATACTCTGGATTCCAAACTTTGATGCTTACAATTTAGAATGATGTATTTACGAGCTGGCTGTGTTTTGTTTACGATTTTCTAACAGTTCTTCGATATGCACACTTTTATACTTGTTTATTTTTTTCTATTGGTTTTATTGATTGATTTTTTTTTTCTTTTGGATCAATTCGTTGCGATTTGTCTTCTATTCAATGTCTTATGCAATTGAACTGAACGGAACAATGGAAACGAACAGAATTCCGGTTTAACACTCGCCAAAAATGAATATCGTCTGGCACCACTCGTTGACAAAATAAAAGAGATGAAAACACTTCACTATAATACGAAAGAAATAAAAATTGGTTCAAATGCAAATCTCTTGAGGAAACAAAGAGAAAGAGAAAAAAAAGAGAAATAATAAATTGATCGACGAAGAAAATGAAAAATAATGTAAACAAAAAAAAAATTCCGGCACACAATCACAATCCCTCACAATGACGATGTTGCTTGGTCCGCAGCCAAATTACAAATGAACGGTATCGAAATCACACACGATGAAGCTACCGCAGTTACCGCCGTTGCTGCTGCTTGTGTTGATCTATCTGAAACGCTGATTTGGAGCACGCCGAAGAAATTTACCGAGCTGCGAATTTCGGACCAAACATTCGCATATCTCTTTACTCGCTGGCTTTCTTTGCTTGGTTTTGTTTTTTTTGCTCAGCCACTCAATTTCGGGTTGGGAACATAAAGAAATGGCAAACTACGTATACATACATCAGTTTATTGTTTTCCAATAAAATCCACTGAGCGATAATTACTATACGCAGCCAAAACACAAAGCACCAAAATCATTTACAACTAAACGCTCTCCGCTCAATATATCCGACTCTAATCCGATGCGCTCGGTCTGATTCGGTTCTGCATAATCGCTTGCTTAAATGATTTTCACGACGAAAGTTGCGTTATCTCGTCTTTCTCTCACTCGCGTTATCACATTCCAAGATGAAATCGGCAAAACATTTTCCAAATACTCACAACATTTCATCGGATCCCATTTTTTTTCATTACGCTTACATACCTATGTAATCATAGAACGTTTCCTCTCGAGAAAAAAAATGTTCCAAAGAAGTGGTTCTCGCTCCATGTCAAAGTATAAAGCATTTACGTCGTTAAACGCCTAAATTGCGCAATTTTTCATAGAATTAGACAAATTTCCTGGGTGACTTCACGTATGTGGTCTTTGCGCGCGCGCTCAAACATAGACACCGCCAAAAACCAGCAAATTACAATGAACAAACGGTACTTCAAATGGTCATAACAATCATTCATCTTTTTGTGACCGAAATAGATTTTGATACATTTTTTTCTCTTTCGATGATGTTTTTTCTTGACGTCGATATTAGACATTTTATGGTGAATTTAAACCTTGGATATCGATTCGGGTAGGAAAAAAATGAGATGAAGCGTAAAATTTGAATTACGCTGATTCAATCGAATATGGGTAATATTTATCTTGGAGAAGATGTCCTAGGGGTTAGACACCAATTTCTAGTATAGCTAGTTTGTTCAAATCGGTTCAAATATGCGTTTAGTTTCTTTTAGTTTTTCTAGTATACAAGCAGAAACGCAAATATTCTGCTAGTATTTCTAGTATCGTACCATTGCTTTTTCCATAAGTATAGCATTGCCAATGCATTTCTTATGGAAGGATTAACGGAACTTTTTGTAAACAAAACATTTGAACTCCATAAGCAAAGCATTGGCAGTATATTTTAAATGGAAGCCTTTGTCCATATAAAAACCACTGGAAATTCTATTCTTATGGAAGAGGCATCACTCATTTTTTTCACAAATATTCTTCTAGTAACTTCTAGTATGCTCAATTTTTGCTAGTTTTCTTCTAGTGTTATTTCGTGTCTACCCCCTAGAAGATGTCTCATCTTATGATCTCTCAATTATAGATTCTATTTCTGTGGACATTTCTAACAAAGAAAAAAGCACATAATGAATCAACTCTTTATGTGTCCATTAAAAAAAATTCAAAAGAGGAATAAATTCAGTTCATTTGAATTTCTCTTCAAAGCGAAATATTTGATGAAAGACAAAGGAACTCTATAAATAAATTATGGCATTTATTTTTAGCATGGACCGCAATTTGATAGAGATCAAGAAGAATGATACGATTCGACCATGATTTGAGTTTACAATTCTTCCATTCGAAAAGTAAAAAAGTTCAAATTTAACTGTTTTATTTCAAAAACTTCATGGTTTTCACTGAAAACTTTTCAATGGAAAGAGAATGATTTAAAAGCCTGAACGTAGGCAAAAGTATTTTTTGATTTTTTTTTGTTTTCTTCACTTCAAGTCGAAATCACTAGGTAAGAGTCTAACTTAAGGGGGTCCGATTCAGATATTAGATGAGTTTTACTCTTTGTGACTGATTCCATTGTGAATAATTTTTGGGTTAGCTTTTAATAAAAATAGCATTACGGTGTAGACTCGGTCTAGTAGACTATCATATATGCTTTGGTGTTATATATATATGCTGTAGTTAACATTACAGTCAATTTACCTTTTTACTGAAGAACTTCCCAAATTCGTTCACTTTCCACAAAGCGAATGCAATATTTAGCCTTTTTGTTCGGATTATGACTTTAAATAGTAAGGTCAACGACCTACCTCAAAGTGTTGCAACATTTCCACAAGATATTGAATCTCAGTCTTTCATTCGCTAAAAGAACCAGTTTGTTGATTTTCTAGTGTAAAAATATATTTTTATTAAAATTTGAATTTCAAGCACACCTTATCGCCTAGAAATTTAATGATATAAATAAGTCTGTCTTAGAAGATCTATGAATTGATGTTTGTTGACGTTGATTACTGTTTACTTTGTGCCTCAGTTAATCATCTGACTTTGCTGTGACCATTGCAATCATCATTCGAATTTGACTTTTTCTTTTGGAAAAAGTTTCGAATGGGTCCGATGAGATTTCCGGATTTGTTGATATGCACCACGGAACGGTCAGCGCGAATCCCATCCAAAATGCGTTCTGATATCTGCTCAATATCAGCCTGATTGTTGTTATTGCTATTGTGGCCATTGTATGCAACGGGAATGGTTGTAGTGTCGTCACAGTTCCACAATACGGTAGTCAAACGAATTTTTTGCTGGTTGAATATATCAAGCGCAAACGTCGACTGTTGATTGTCACTTAGTAGATTTATTAACTCTTTTATCTCACGATAAGATGATAATAACGGCTTTTGATTCGATATGATCGGTTGAATGGTGACGAAATGGCCACATTTTGAGTATTTCAATTTCGGTATAAAATGCATTAACATCTGTGAAAGCGATTGAAAAGAAAGGAAGCATGCGAATTAGATGAAAGATAGACTTGAATTTATAGATATGGTTAAACATCCCGTGTGCAAATAAAGTGACTGACAGTCACTCAGTTGTATGTAGCTGCAAATAACTACAACTGGCTAAGTTGATTGAATTCAAAAATTTTGTATAGAAACAATCAATTTTAGTTATTCTTTACGCCAGTCGTCTAGTTTCGGACTTTTTGGCTACTAGATGACTATAACTGAAGTTGACTACAGTCAAATATTTTGTTCGAGATAATCACTTTTAGTCAGTGATAGTCAGCCAAAAAGTCCGAAATTAGGCGGCTGGCTAGTCAGTCACAAATTTTTCACACGGGATATGCACATTAACACAATGAAAAATACTTTTACTGCAATTTTAATGGATTGAAAATCGCCTTTTGATTCCAATAAATCTCACTTACGTTAATAGTTGTGCGCAATTTTTCGCTGGTGCCGTCGATGAATGCACGGCAATCATCTTTGTTGACCGCATTGAAAATCCCTTTAGTTGCATTATCAATAACAATATCAATCCCGTTGAATGTGTCTTGAACGATTTGGCTCAGTCTTTCCAGATCTTCATTGTCCAAAATATCACAATGCAGAACTGAAATACCGGCCGTCTGCGGTGGGATTGAATCTGGTTGATTTTGAAGACCGCTGGTAGTTTTTCCTTTCACCAGTATTACATGACAGTTATGCTTGGAAGACAGCCGCTCGGCCAGTTCTTGCGAAAGTTTGGTATCACCATTGGTGATCTATCAACAGAATAAACGATGAGAAAATAGTCAAATTCTTTGAAAACGTTCAAATATGGAAACTAACCATTTCCAGATGGTATTAGTTTTGAATAAATTAGTTTTATATCTTAGGCTTTCAATAGCATCTTATCAAATATGTAAAACTATTCAGAATGTTCAAGGTTTCTATCTTTATGATTAACATTTGTGACCATCTCACCAATGCTTTGAGGCCGCCTAACGATTTTCGCACAAAGTATCGTTTGATGTAAAGGCAAATGGTAAGAATGGCCAAAAAGAGAATCGTTCCGAATAGTTCAATCATGATTAGGTTGACCACTAGATGATTGTCACCAGATGGCATGTTGATTTTAACATGCAGCCACGCGTAACTTCTTTCTGAAATAGAAAAGAAATTCCGTTATAAAAACATATTATAAAACGTAGGGTCTACGTCGTAGGTACAAAACAATAAAATCACATAAGGAAATCAAAGAGAGTTTCTTCTTTTTATAATAATAAAATCAGTCGCGGTTTAACCTCTTAACCTACTCCTAACTAATAGAAGAAATACGAAGTAATTTCAACGGAAAAATGTATTCAATCAAAGGCTCAAGATATATAAGCAAATCAGCCTTTGTGTGCTAACACAATTTGATTTGTTTGTGTCGAAGATACGAATCTGAATTATGACAATCAAAATGACTCAAACATGGTTGTGGCGGCAAATAAAGCGGTAGCGGTGCCTATAATTTGTATTGCTCTTTGAACTGGCAAATGAACTTGTCTCACGTATGTTGAGTGTACGTTTCCGCGTGTATTCAGTGAGTTTACATCGAGTTTTATTGTTGAATGAAAAATTATGTGTCAATTACCTTCGAGCGTTTGAAGTTCAAACACCTTGACAAACAAACTGGAAAATAGTCAACTTGGCTCGTTGTTATATATGAAACAAAATTGTTCATCCATTTCATTAGACATAACATGAATTTATGCCGATGACACATGAAATGTGCGTTAAGGAAGTGGAAAAAATAGTAGCAAAGTCAATTTGCGATAATGTGCTTTTGAAAGCAAACCAATTCCGGAAAAATAATCCAAAATAAGAATAATAAGAATCTCATTGAAACGTACTTTGAATCTTCTTTGTACTTTTTTTTTGAATATATTTCAAGATCAATCAGAAGACATAATCCGTTAAATAAAGACATTTGCGCGTCGATATACAAAAGGGGGAGTGAATCATGCGATTTCCCACAGTAAATCATATTGCGAGAGTTCAATATGCATCGTCGTGCAACAACTACCGAATCAAGTTCAAGTACGTCATTTAAATACACGCGGTGTAGGCTTTTTTTGCATATGTTGCCTTTTACGGCTACCGTGCCTAAAAACTTCCACTTAAAGTGCTCTTCGTTATGGTGAGCTGAAGCACAAAAAAAAAACAATTTCCGAAAACAAATTTAAAAAAAAAACGGCTGTACACAGTCATGGTGACAACAACATTTATTGCAACGTAGCGCCCAACCATTCATTTATTATTTAATTATAAACGTCTCAAACGACCGGTTATCAAAGCGTGCTGTTGTTTTATTTTTTCTCTCTCCGTGTTTGTTATGCTCTGCGCTTAAAATAAAAACCAGTTCTCAAAGCACGAAGCATTTTGTTGTACATGTCATCGCGTCAGGCGATCTCGAACGCTGACAATTGCAGTTGAATAATGACGGTACATTTAAATTAGATTTGTTCGATTTGAATTGCATTAGCGCATTAATGCACAATCGATTATCCAACCGACGCAAAATCAAAGGGCGAACAATTCAAAACGTTAACAACATTAAGTCAGACATGAAAAAAAAGTGAATTGGAATTCGAAAAATGTAAAGTTTGCACAGCTCAAGCACGTCGGATGATTTTTAATGGAAATAATCGATGTTAATGAAGATTTAACTCGTTAAGAGACCTGCTTTTCAAATAAACTTTTTTCAACGAAATAAAATAAAGATTCACAAGAAAAGAAGATAACGATTTTGTGAGCGACTCAAGTTTGTTCTTGTCGAGTGCTTTGTTTTGATGCAACGGACAAGCACGTTCGCTGTTTTTTCCACACTTATTCTCATAATGTCAAAACGATTGTTGTACAAACACGCTTGGTAAATATTTGCTTTGTCCCCTCGTCGATCGCAACGATAATGAAATGCAAGTGAGACGCGAGTCACATATACGATTGGTACATTGGTTATTGGTACACCATGCGAGAAAGATGTGGTTAACCTGTTTCAAGGTTAACATGGAATGCGAATGCAGCGTGAACATGATTTATAAATACAATTGGAACTCGGAACTGGATCTCTTTCAACTTGTTTAAAATATGAGTCCATTTGGGAATTAGGTGACGACGCGTGCATTCCAGTTCTCTCGAGATCCAGTTTTCCTCCTTGTTAAGTTTTTTTTTGAAGAATGGGTAAAAGGAGTGATTTATGTTAAGAACCGAAAGAATAAAATAATTTACACTCGATTTTAATAATTTGATGTGCGAATTTTGACGGAATTTAAGCGTTTTGAATACAAAGTTGACATTTTTTATGACAGTGTGACGGTCATCGTATGGCTACGGCCCGTAACCTACAATTGTATTTGAAAACGTTTTTGTCAACAAAAACATAAACAGAAAAATAGAAAATGAGCAAATGAAGATAGAAACACTGTTGACTGCAAGAAATTACGATACAAGGAAATGATCCGTCAAACAATAAAAACGCAACGACGACGAAACAATAACAAAAAATTACTCATTCAATACGTAAAGATTAAAAAAAAAGTCTCTCGTAAAATGATTATTTTAATTCTGATTTTTCTTTGTCATTTAGACACAATATTTGCATTTAAATGCACAAATTCTCACATCTTTTCTGCTTATAGCTTTGTTGCCAGAATGTACGTATTTTAATTTAACGTTCGACGAGCAAACATGCAATGACAACGTCGTGATTATACTTATTTACTCGTATAAGATATATTTACGATATTTTCGATATATTTAGTAGACGTTATAACTCACAAGCTTAATGATAATGACAAACAATGTAGATAAAATGTTATAAAAACGACGGAATCTTACACAAAATTGCTTTTTCATTGTTTCGGCGCACACACTGCATTTAAATTAATTGACACAACAAAAATAGACTTTTTGGGATTTCAGAGCGTGCCATTTGAAAGCGGTCAACACGAGTACTATCATAATCGTCTCTTGAGTTTGGGTAAATTTGCTTCGATTTTTGTCTGCGAGTTCAACTGTCTTGTTTTACTGGTTTATGGAAACAATTCCCATTCTACATGTTCGTAAATGGATAAGAGATTTCAGAATTTTTTCATTGCTTATCGAATATATTGTCAATGATTAGTTCTCTATAATGCGTTTTTTGAATGACCGTTCATTTTAATTGTCACCAGTTGTGGATTTTCGGTATCGTATACCAAAAGCAGCTTCTTAAAATGGCTTTTTTATTGCCAAACTAAAGCGGCATCTACATTTCGAAAAGCGATCATCTTTCAAGTTAAAATTACGACACTTTTGCCCATCAAAATCATTATTCAAGTCTGAAATTAAATGTGTGTCTATTCAGTAAGTGAATTTTAATGGGGATAATATATGAAAGATTGAACAAGTGGAAAAAGGCCAATGACACTGTAAATTCAAAATGATTTCTGACAACACAATCGGCTAATCCATTTAACGGGAAGCTATTTTGTATCAGCTTGAAAAGATACAGACAGTTTGGTGTTCACATTTAAAAAAAATCGGCTTAATGAGGTCTTGGAGACACCATTACCTCCGTAATTGAGCACGTCAAACGTACGAAGTTTGAACAAACTAATCATATTCCTCGAATGGAAAAACAACAACATTTAATTGGACTTTAATTACAATCAACTCATCTGAACAACGACTTAGTCCGAAAATGGGACTTTTTCGCATTGAAAACCGTTTGCTTGCAATGTGAAAACACTTTTAATAAGATATTAGTTTTATTCAATATAATAATACGACGTATGCCCACTCATAAATTATGAGTCATAATGATGTATCGGATTTTCCCATGAATTTGAAATTGGCGCACGAATAGTGAATCGTCATTTTTTACTTTTTTCCACCATTGTATGTGAAATGTATAGTTATAAACTTCACACTTTTTCTTCGAACTCACTTTTTTTAAATTCTGGATCTGTTTTTAGTTTTATTTAATTATTACCTATGCGCTATGCCAAGAAATGTATTGCCGATATGACACAATAGTTTTAAATAAACCTGACAATTTTACTTTTATCAAATTTTGTTTGGATCAGTCTCAGGTTCGAGTTGGTAGTAGATCTGGAAGAATATGAATTGTGTACTACAAATTCAATAGCTGTTTTTTGTGTAACTCGTTCAACTCCCTTCCATTCCATATACGGTGATTGAGCACACCCTTAAAAGCCAATCAACTGCGTTTATTCAAGTATGATTGGAAATTTGAATGTATCATACACATGTTTTATGGACTCACTTTGTTAGTTATGACTCAGAGTTATAGCGGCACTCCAACCAACTAGCATAGAAAATGGGCTCTAAATTATACACATGTAATATAATGGGTTATATTTGAAGAAAAAAAAACACATCTAAATGAATTCATTTCAAACTTTCAACGATTCTCTACGCAAAACGTAGGCTGCATGCAAATGTCAAATAAAACCAATGTCAAACGAGGTCAACTTCAGATCGAAGCGTCCAAAAAATTAACAATATCTCATGTTTGTTATCGTTAACGTTTAGTGTTATTCGTGAACTCAAGGCGTAACATAAAGTTAACTTTCTACAAATTATCGATACAGTTTCAATTTCGTTTCAAGTTTTTAACTATTGCAGTAATATAAGAAACTTTTCTATTTGTTTTGCAATTCGAAGGCAAAATAAAGTTGAAAAGTGTACAAAAAGTTATTTAAAGTAAGGAAAACTAAAAAAAGGAAATCAACGATAATCAGGATGAGCAAGCGTACAAACGACATCCTAAATGAAATTGCTATGGATGTCGAAGACCAAGAGTCGCCGCCGGCCATTTTCAAGCTGAATGCTGTTTGCGGTGGCGATCTGTTTGGATTTCTCTCACTGCATGATGTGCATTCACTGGGCCAAACTTGCAAGCGAATGAATCGACTCACCGGCCTCTATTTTCAAGAGAATTTTAAAAGCTCTAGAATTCATTGCCAGGATCAAAAGATTTGTCTCTATAATTTACAATTAAATGGATTCAAATTATACGCCCAGAGCATCCGATTGTATGGCACTAACAGCGAAGAAGATTTCAAGTTCATCGCAGCATGTTGTGATTCACTTCGAAAAATTTCTTTTCAGA